GGAATGTGTTGTGGTACTTCTTAGATATGCTGCAAATGACAGAATATATCTGAAAAACATTTGGACATGTAAAAAAAAAAAAAATGAAACTGATTTAACAAAAAATGGACTTTGTTGTATGAAATATCAGATGGACTAATTATGACCCTGTAAGAAATGGTCAAGCTCTGTATTCTTTATTTCGGAAAAGCCCTGAATCAAATCAGAGTGGCTTGGGTTGGAAAGAACCTTAAAGACCATCTAGTTCCAAACCCTTGCTGCAGGCAGGGTTGTCACTCACTAGATCAGGCTCTCATGACCCCATTCAACTTGGCCCTGAGCATCTCCAGAAATGAGGCAACCACAGCTGCAGCCTGTGCCAGTTCTTTATCATCCTGAGTGAAAACTTTCCTCCTATTACCTAATCTAAATCTCTACTTTTTTAGTTTAAAACCACTACAGGTCCTATGAGGAGTCACTGGCCCAGGATAGTGTTGGTACAGGCTGCGAGAACAAGCTGCTTGCTTGCATTAAGCTTTTCATTCACTAGGACATCCAAGTCCAGGGCTTCTCTTCTGGGTTGCTCTTAATGAATTCTTCTCTCAGAAAATGGAAGGGATAGGAATGTAATTCTGATGAAGATCAAAAAGTGATTTTGTTAAAATTTATAATCAGAAAAAAAAAAAAATGATAGGAGTAGCATCTTCTCTGCTATCTTTCTCTATATAAGAGATTTCACTATAAATTCCTTGGTACAGAAACAATTATTTGTAGAAGTGTTCAGTCTGAAAGCAAAAAAAGCAAGTACAAGAAATGTCTGTCTACTCTTGCTTTAATTCAGTGTTGAAAAATGTTAATTATTTTGATTATTACTTGTCCATGTGCAAAGCCATAAAATTTTTTTTGAGAGATACAGTGTATTTTGCATCTAACCACAAATTACAAAGTTTTTAGCACTACTTTTAATGAAAAGATTTTTTTTTCATATTTTAATTTGAAAGGTTGATTAATATTATCACTAGTTACCATAGCCATATGACGTGATTTAATGCTTCTGTTGATTATCTAGAAATATGTAACTGTTGCTAAGAAAAAATGACATTTCTTCAAATACTAAGATGAGTTGTGTATTTTGATAAAGACCAAAAATTCAAATTCTGAAGTTTGAAAAAAAAATATATATGTATTCACAATGTTTTGAAGCAGGACTTCAGTTTCTGTTAGGCTCTGATTGATTAGTGCAGACAGCTCTGCAAACAAATTTCATAGATGAAAGGATCAAAACATTGAAGTGATTCAACAATTTCCCAGTAACAAAAGAAGCCATGACCCTCCTTCTGACATAGCAAGTGATTATGTATTTAGAGACTGAGATGTTAATAGAGATTTAAATATTCTGCAAACACATTAATTCAAAGGTGGCAACAAATGTATATATGTGTATCACATTTATGCCAAGGTCTAACTGGGTTTGATACCATTTTTCAACGAGGACAGAAATATAAAGTTCCATGATTTAAGAATGCAAACTAATAGCCAAGAGATTTTATCCTTCAACTTTATGACAGGTCATCCTGTTCATCTTGCAAAGCAAATATGCTTGCAAGCAACAATTTGACATAAGAGAAAGGACAGTATAATACTAAGCATTAAAATCCTTGAAATAAAAACTCTCTTTACCAGCATGGATCAGATGAAATTTGGTTAGGCATTTCCACAGAATTAGTCATATCCTTCTGGCAACATTTTTTTTTTTTTTTTTTTTTTTTTTTTCCTGAAATCACTCACTGTCCCCTCCTTCATATTGTTCACAAGAAAATGAGAAATCAATGAAAGCACAAATCCTCCAAGCTTTCAGTGCATTATCACCTAAATAAAGCAACTTTTATTTGCTGGATAGATAGGGTAACAGATGTCTACTGAAATACAGCTTGCCTTCAAATGAACAATGTAAGACAACACTATCCATTTTTGTTACTTTTTACGATTTTATCTCAGTGTTTCTGATTGGCAAGGCTACTGTCGCAAAGTGAAGGTAAGCTCTTCAAGCATCCAAGATTCAACAGCTGAATAACCAAATGGAGTAGTTACTGCTACGGCATTTCAGATTAGTTTCATCTGTAAAACTACACCATTCTACTATTCAGGATTGTTCTGTTGTAAATGTAATGCTGTGTTGATTCAGGTTTGATTTTTACACACTTTCATATTTCCCAGTAATTTTTTGTAGGCAATTGTTAGAGCTATGATGGTTACATTGGGCTTTAAAAATCACAGTACACCTATTCACTGGTTGAAAATACTTCTGTTTAGTACTTAAGGGCAATTTCAGTCTCTAGGGACAGCTGTAATGGAGTAGTACCAGGGTTTGTGAGGCAAATACGAGGAAGTTCTAGGGACTGGTGTGAGAAGTAAGAATTGTCGAGCTGTGTATAGATAATGGCAAGATAAAGGGACGTGGAAGGGTGCATAGAACTCAATTAGGTGCCTTCTATGGCAAGCACTGTCAGCAATAGACTGCAGGAGCTACGCAAAGACAATTCACAGACACTTCACAGGCTAGCAAAGAGCTGCAGGCTGGGATACACCAGGGCTACAGAGGAACACTGCACTACCCACTGGATGTACTGGAACTGTATACGGCCACAAAACAGCCTCAATCCCCATCTCTCCTGTTCCCTAAACACACATCCCAACGCAGCACAAGCGCGGGTTGTTGGCGGGGTGGATTCTCAACCGCACTGTTCTTCACTCACGGCCGCCACAGCCCCACCGGCTGCTCACAGCTCAAGGCTGTGACAGAAACGAGGCGGCTGGAGGACGAGCGAGGACGCCCCAGGGAATCGACCCCATCGCGGCCCGACTCCTCGCCAGAGACGACCGACTGAGGCCGCGCCGGATGGCCGCAACTCAGCGGGCTCGGCCCGCGCCACCCCCCCCGCCTCAAGATGGCGGCAGACGGGCAGCTCCCCCACCATCGGCGGGGGCTTTTTTTTTTTTTATTTCCGATGAAGGCGCGGGGTGCCGCGACAGGCGGCCGCAGGGGGAGGCGAGCAGCCGCCGCCGGGCGTAACTTCCCTCCCGCTCCTCCGCCAGCGGCGGCCCCTCGACCGACAGCGGGCGCGGCACGACCCCCGCGGCGGGCAGCGCGCCGGGGCCGGGCTCCAACGCCCGCCCGCCGGATGTGGCGTCAGGCGGCCCCCGCGCGGCCACGCCTCGGGCTCGGGTCCGGTATCGCCACAGCCTTACCGGCCCGCGCGCTGCGCCGCCGGCACCGCGTGTATCGCGCGGGCGGTCCTGGCGCGACGGATGAGCGGGGGCGCGGAGGACGACGCCCGGCCCGGCGGAGGGAGCAGGTAGCGCTCGGCCCCGGGCCGTCAGTCAGGGCAGGCCCCGCCTCTTCCGGGCCTCTCCGACTGGGCCGCCGCCTCCTCCTCCCTCGCTCGCTCTCCCTTTTGTGAGTTATAGCAACCGTTGCCTTGTGAATCAAGCGCCATAGTCACCGTAGTCCTGGCGACTGTTACCCATCAACAACAACCGCTCCTCTCCTGCTCCTCCTCCTCCTCCTGCTGCTCCTCACCCCCATCCTCACCCCCTTCCTCATCGTCACCCACAACAACAACAACAACAACAACAGCCGCCTCCAGCAGCAGCGACAGCCGGAGCAGCACCGCAGCCCGCTTCAGCCCAGGTGAGTGCTCTCGCCGGGCGCACGCCGGCCCTCCCTCCGCTCTCCTTCCCCCGGCTTCTGCCTCCCCCCACCTCTCGGCATCCGGGCCGGAGACGCTCCGTCGCGCCGCGGCGTGTGACGGCGGGGCGGCGGGGGAGCGCGGATCGCTCGCCCGGCCCCGCCGTCTTCTCCGTTGCCTTCCCTCTTGCCCGGCCCCGCCGCCTCGGCGTGGGAGCGCGCGGCGGGGGGCGGCGGGATGGGGGTGTCCGCGGGGCCGAGGGAAGCGCGCGGTGGGGCCGGCTGAGCAGGGAGCCGGGGCTCGGCCGTGCGGGGACGAAGGCGCTGCTGGGACCTGCGGGACAATCGCGTGGATGCGATGGGTACGCGTCTTCCGTCGTCTCCTGTTCAGGCGGAGGAGGGGGATGTGGGGACGAGGGAATTTTGGGAGACGGGACTTCAGGCACAAGCTAAGATTGTGTTCTTTAAATAATAATAATTATTATTATGCAAAAAACAGCAGCCACAACAAAAAAAGAATGCAACATCTTGGGGGTGGAGGTGGGAGGAAAGAAGCAGCGGAGATGGATCCCATTGCACAGCGCAGAGCGAGGGGCCTTGTTCTGGTCCGTGTGGCTGCCGGAGGTGCAGGTGTTTGCCAACTTCCATAGGCTCCAGTGAGACTCCTGTATATGCGATCGGTCACTCTCTGTGTTTTTTCAGCCAAACCTTTCCTTTTCTTTCTTTCTTTTCCTTTTCTTTTCTTTTTTTTTTTTCTTTTTTTTTCTTTTTTTTTTTTTTTTTTCTTTTCTCTTTCATTTATTCATAATTAATGTCCTTTCTTATTTTAGGATAAACTGCATTTTCTTTGTACTGTGTTTTCCTGTTTATTCGGTACCCCCACCCATACACATAGTTGCGGGTTTCCTTTTTTTTTCTTCTTGCAATCCTTCTAGGAATTATTACTATATAGCTGTTATTACATTTTTATGTTGCCAGTGTAGTATGGTGTAGTGTGTGTGTAGATGGAGTAAATGCACATTATGTACATGGGGAGAGGATCCTTACGAGTTTTCTTAAACTCTCCACAATCAAAGAAATCTGAGACATTTCACTGTCACTGCGAGTTTGTGTGCTAAGAAGCAGAGGGAAGAAATTAAAAATGTCTTTGTGATTTGTGATTTTTTGTTACTGCAGCTGCAGTTCAAGAGGATGCTTGGGAAAGAAAGGAAGAGGCACCTTTTTACCTCACAAGAGGTTGAAGTAAAAATTATGTTATTAATGATGATATTTTTTCTTTTCTTCTTCTTCTTCTTTTTTTTTTTTAATCCAAAAAACCCGTGGTTTTTTTTTGTTTGTTTGTTTGTTTTTTATTTGGTTGGTTGATTGGTTGGCTTTTTTTTTTTTTTTTAGTTGTTAAGATCTAAAGACTTGCATTGCTGTATTGTTGGAGGTAGAAAATTATACTTTCTTTACTTTTTTTTTTTTTTAAGTTCTTTGGGATAAAGTATGCTTCTGGCATCTTTTTTGGTGATTAAAATTATCATTTAACATCTCTATATCCAGTTGTGCTCTTCCTTGACATGCCAAATCACCTTTCGGTGTGGCAGACTTTTTTTCTTTTTCGTAGTGGTGACTTACTTATTTCCTTTATTTAATTAAATCGTTAAGGGAAAACATAATAAAAAAAAATCTTTATTATTAATTTATTATTAAAAATCCTACACCTTTTCTATTTGAATACCTTTAGCGGAACTCTGTTTATAAGTTTTTTCTTTGCCAACAAGGATATGTTGTTTTATCTCATAATGGACCTACCAATGAATGTGACAGGGTCATTTTTTCCAGGTGATCATCAACTGTGATACATCTTTCATTTATATCAATGTTTCTTAAGGCAAGGCAGATTGTGGGATTTTTTGTGTTTTTTGTTTTGTTTTGTTTTGGGTTTTTTTGGTGTTTTTTTTTTTTTTTTCAGAAAGCAAGTATGTGAATGAAAATAATTCTGTTTTGGGTAATTACCAAAGACGTCTATGTTGTCATCATTTTATTCAAGATGAAGCCGTCAAGTGCTGATTTTGCGCGTACTGCTACAAAATAACTTTGAGAGATATTAAGAACATTCAGAGTGAGTAACAATTCAGTTATATGTGTATGGAGTCAGAAGGTTATTTTACTACATCAGTTATATGGCAGATTTAAATCTTAATTTCATTGTTATTACATTATGTATGTGATTCATCAGTCGCTAAACCATTCGATGCATTTACTTGATGTTGAAAAAGCTGGTGTCAGCTCTACACCATGCCTCTCCTGAGTAGCTTTCTTTCAACAGGACAGAGCCCTGTCCAGGATGCCTTTCTTCCTGGATGTTGAGGTCTGTCCTTGAAGGACAAGCATCCAGACCTGTGGTCTCAAAGGAAACACACAGACTGAGAGAGTTTTATAAGTTTGTTTTTGTTTTTGTTTTTTTTCTGTACAGAAGTGTTTTAAAGGTCATGTTAAAGTATGTAATTTTATCTAAAACCGAAGACTTCTTCTAATATTACTTAGCTGTATTTTGTTAGGCCTGCTGTTTGAAAAACTGTAATAAATCAACCATGATCAACTCAATTAATATTAGGGACCTGAAAGGGAAAACTGTTGAGCCTTTATTCTTTCTGAAATATTTTAGTGGTCACAGATGATATCTGCTTTATGCATTTGACTCCCTAATGCCCTCAGCTGTCAAAATAGTTGGTGTTTGTGATGCTAACCAGCATTTGAAAATGAAGTGGCTTGTGATTTTTTTTTTTTTTTTTTTTTAAAACATTCATTTTCATGACTTACACTGTGTAACTGTCTGTGTAACATTGTTTTAAATTGTTTCAGCATACTCTAATGAGTCTTCGTGGATCATAGTCTTCGATGTGCTTTAGCTAGCTTACATTGTACTGTGGAGGAGCCCTTCAATGATGCAGTGAAAATAAATGAAATGGGAATTAAAGGTACAATGTTGTTACGAAGTTTGAAGTCAGGGTGCTTTATTTCATAATTAGGTTCAGCTTTGTTAGCTCTATCCAGTTTCATGTTTCCACCTGGTGCGGTAGTTGTGTGGTAGTTTGTTAATCACAGAACTGTATACAGAAATAAATGTTACTGTTTAATATAGTTTATAAAACTTTCCATTGAGAAGGAAGATTTTTTTCATTTCTTTTTACTTGAAACATAACAAAGTATCTACAAAGCAATGGTCTTACAGTATTGCTGTTCTTTTGGTGTTCTAGTTAGTATTTCTGGTTCTGGTCTTCATGCTTTACTTTGACCTCTTATGGAAAGTTTCCTTCTTAGAACATTCCATACTCTTCAAAAACTTGCCAGCTATTATGTAAAATACTCTCACTTTCAGAAGCTCATTTGTTTACTTTTTACAATTATTTAAAATTGAAGTGATGTGTTGTGAATGCATCACAAATACGGACAGAATGAAAAATAAACTTCAAATGATACTGTAGTGTTCTTGTAGATGAAGTTGTATTCTTAAAACAAGCTTGTTACCATATAAATATGTTAGAGCAAACAAAGTATTATTTTTATACATTTTATTTATGAAAAAATTTTTTAAAACTAAGGGTGAGAAATGGCAAATTAATGAAGCTTTTGATCTATATAAACTAATATTGAAGATAATGCTTTTCTGTTAGCCGCAAGTTTGACATTATTATTTTTGTATTTCTGGTAAAGGTGTTTTTACTTCTCTTTGCTTACAGGGTAGCACCTGTATATTTATATTTTGGAAGTTTAAGTAGCAGCGTACATACATTGATTTTTAGCTAAATCTGGTTTGGTAGGGACAGATGGCTAGTTTAAACAGGTGTTACTTTCATTCCTTGTGCATTGTGTTGAGACTTCCAGAGGTTCACAAAAGAGCTGCCTAAAGCAGGTGGTGTTTTCTGCTTTTGTGATTAGCAAGATTTACTTTGCTAGGAAATTATTTTCCCAGTCACTGGACATGTTTTAATAGTTAACATATAGTATCGGAGTTTCAAGCATTCAACATACAGCACAATAGCGTGATACTTTTAAAAATTATTTTATCATCAGATTTTTAAAGGGGATGTGACTTTGAATATGAGATTTTTTGTTTCATGACTATGTGAACAAATAGTTATTGTCCTGCTTGAAAGACAAAGAGCAGAAATATAGCTCGATGTAACACTTTGTTTCACTAAAAACTTATTTTTACCTTTGTATCATTTAAGATTTATTAGGTTTTATTTTTCAGTAAAAATGACATATTAAGAATACAGAATTAGTTTCAAACTTTTTTGGTCTTAACACTTTTGTCGCAAAAGTAATTTTGCCAGCCTTTTTTTTTATTCTGTAACATTTGTAATTCTATTACAATTGGTTTTAATAAACTAGATTCTTTCTTTTCTAACACTTCTTGGTCAGGTGATTTTTTTATTATTATTATTTTTTATTTTTTTAACTTGGAGATCCTTGTTTTTTCTTTGCTTACTAACTGTGTGTTTTCTGTAACAATGACTAGCTTTTATTATTTTACTTATAGTAGATGCACCAGAGGGTGCTATGCTATTTGAAATATAAAAAGAAAAAAAAAATAGGAGTTTTTTGTCATTGAAATACAGTGATACTTCATAGGAATTTAAATAAAACTTACTGGTTTTTTTCTTACATGTTTCTAGGCATTGTAGTATTGCAAGCTCTTAATACAATTATTTTGGTTTGAAGGACAAAGATCAATGAATCATAAAATGTCTTAGGTTAGAAGGGACGTTAAGATCATCTTGTTCCAACCACCTGCTATGGGCAGGGCTGCCACCCACCAGCTCAGGCTGCCCACAGCCCCATCCAACCTTGCCTTGAATGCTTCTGGAGATCATGCAGGATGACTTGTGCTGGTGCCTCACCACCCTCTGAGTAAACAATGCTTGCCTAACATCTAACCTATACCTTCCCTCTTCTAGTTTAAAATCATTCCCTCTTGTTCTGTCTGTATGAAACCATATAAAAAGTTGGTCTCCCTCTTGCTCGTAAGCTCCATTCAAGAACTAAAAGGCTACAGTCAGGTTTCCCCAGAGCCTTCTCTTCTCCAAGCTAAACCCTGACTGCCTCAACATTTCTTCATAGGAGAGGTTCTCCAGCTCTCTGATCATCTTTGTAGCCCTCCTCTTAACCTGCTCCAGAAACTCATGTTTTGCACTGTAGACCTCAGGCCTGTGTGCAATACTCCAGATGGGGCCTCACAAGGACAAACAATGGTGTTCAATCACCTCCTTCTCACTGCTGGCCACTGCTCTTTTTATTCAGCCCAGGCATTCTGGGCTGCAAACTCACACACAGTTGGCTTGTGCTAATCTTTTCATCCTCCAGGATCCTCCAAAGGCTTTTTTCATCGGACTGCTCTCAATGAGTTCTTCTCCTAGCCTGCATATGTAGCTGGGATTGCCCCAGTCCAAGTGCAGTGCCTTGCCTTTCTCAAGTAGGTCTTGATGTCTAGGTCCCTCTGGATGGCAACTATTACTTCTGTTGTGTCTACTGTAACGCTCAGGCTAGTGTCATCTGCAAACTTATTGAGAATATGCTCAATCTCACCGTGTAAATCATTAATAAAAACATTGAAGAACACCAGTCCCAAGAAGGAGCCATTAGGGAATACCACTCATGGCTGGCCTCTGCCTGGGCATAGGTCCACAGACCACAACTCTCTAGTTACAATCACCCAAACAGTTCTTTATCCACTGAGTAGTCCACCATTGTAATCTGTATTTCTGCAATTTAGAGATAATGTGCTAGGCCATGACAAATGCCTTACTCAGGTCCAGGTAGATTTCATAATTTGACCTTCCTTTGTCCATTGTTCCTGTCATTCCCTCATGTGTCACCAGCCTGGTCTGCCACAATCCGCCCTTGGTGAAGCTGTGCTTATTGTTTCGGAATACGTTGTCTTGAGTGTACTTTAAAGAGCATATCTTCCAAAAGGATGAGTACCATGATCTTCCCAGGCACAGGAGTGAGGATCGTTGGCCTGTAGATCCCTTGCTTTTCCTTTCTCCCTTTATTAAAAATGGGAATGATGTTTCCCTTTTTCCACTTATTGGGGGCTTCACCTGATAGTCACAACTTGTCAAATATGAATGAGAGTGGCTTGGCAACCACATCAGCAAACTCTTTCAGGACTGTGGGATGCATGTCATTGGCCTCATTGGGCCTCATTTATCAGAGTGCATAGACCCTTGCCTTTTCTCTTCTGACCAATGAACCTGTACAATCTGTCCTTATTTTTCACCTCCCTTCCTGTGTTCAATTCTATCTATGTGCCTTGGCATTTTTGATACCAACTCTGCATGTCTGGATGGCCTCCCTGTATTCTTCCCAAACCACACCTCCCTGCTTCCTCTGCCTGGGCATTTCCTTTTTATCATGCAGCTTGACCATCAGGCCTCCTCAGCCATGCTTGTTTCCTGCCTCCTCTGCTTGATCTCTGATGCTGAAGCAGAGAACTTTTATGCCCTCAGAAAGATGTTTTTAAAGAGGAGCCAGCTCTGTTGTGTTCCTAGGAGCAGTTTCCCATCTGATCCGTGCAGTATTCCCTAAGCAGCTAGAAGCGTGCTTTCCTGAAGTTCAGGGTCCTGACTTGCTCTTTGCCAGTCCCATATTTCTCAGGGTCTTGAACAAGGGTGTGGTCACAATGCCCCAGTCAGTCTCCAATCTCAGACTGTTTAGTTATCTCCTCTGCAGTGGTGAGCACCAGGTTTGGTTGCTTTTTTTATGGTACCTGGATGAGGAAGTTTTCCTGAATTGACTCGAGGAGTCTTCTGGGTAGTTTGTAGCTAAGTTTCTTTCCCAGCGTACACCTGGGTGGTTGAAATTCCCTGTCAGGATAAAACACTGAGAATGTGTTGCTTTGTGTAGCTGAAGAAAGAAGGCCTTATCAACAGCTCCCCTTGATCTGGCAGCCACCAAATGTCCTCTATTGGTCTGGTCCCTAATTTTAACCTATAAGTTCTCAACCTGATTGTGCCTGTTTCTCAGAAATGCCTATTTACCATCTATCCATTTCTTAACAGAGGGCAACTCCTGCTACTCCTTCCCTGTCAGTATCTTCTAAAAAAAGCTCGTAGCCCTTGAGTGTAGTGAACCAGCTGTACTGTCTGTCCTACCATGTTTCTGTGATAGCAAGCAGGTTACAGTTTTCTAATAGCAATGTAGTTTCCATTTTCTCCAGTTTATTTCCTAGGGTGAGTGCATTGTGGAGGCACTTCAGCTGGGCTTTCAGGTGTGATGACTTCTTGATAAAGCTCTCCTCTGGGACGAATCTGAGGACTTTCTCCCACTGATTCCTAAAGGGACAATGTTGTTTGTTTGTTTGTTTGTTTTTGTTGTGTTTTGTTTTGTTTTGTTTCTTTAAATTAATGTGTTGCTTTGTGTAGTTTTTTTTGTTCTTACTGAAACTTTCTATGCATAAAATAGGCATTAAAACTTCTGAACTGTAGAAGGGATAGAAGTGCTAATTGATTAGAGTTACTAATTCTAGAATAGAAGAACAATAAAAAAAAATAGTATGCTTATAAGAATCACTGCTTTTGATTTCAGAAATTCTTTACTGAATATGAAACTAATGGATTAGAATTTCATTGTTGTACATTCTATAGTTTAATAATACTTATTGTTTGTCTGTATACTCTAAGGCTAATTAATGAAGCAGTGCTTTTTTATGCATGTGGGTAAATAATGGCATATAGTTCAATGTAATTTGCCTTCGGAAGTGTGTAAAAAGTTTCAAGCTGGAGTTGGCATAGTACATCTTAAGTTGCTTGGTTTTGCATAGTACTTCTAGTTGTGTAGATTTTTTCTGTTCTACCATGATAAGTTGTTTGTCTTTGATCCCCTGCTTTTAGATTTAGCTCCCCAAAACTGGCAGGTGGTGGGTGGAATATGTTGTAAGTTGAAATTAACAAAGAAATTTTCCATATTATAATAC